TCTATAAAATGCATTGCTGTTCTGTTGTAAGTGATCTTAAAGATTCCTAAATGCATCTACTTTCGGAAGGCCAAATAAAGTGCTTTTGCTTTCGCCTAGAAACACAGCATCTCCCTGACATGGCTGCTTCAACACTAACTGCTGTTACTGAAACCTTCTTTCTTAGCGTGCACATTTGGGCGGCATTATGTTCATATTTCCACATAGTGAGGTAGATATGTGGGGGCGTGTTAGAACGAGCTGTTTTAGGGGGGCGTGGCAGAGTCTTAACTTTGATAAAGAATATCTCTTTGGTTTTGAGACTTTAGTCTTTGCAACTTCAGGGATCTTATCTATGCACAATCAGCTTGTAACACTCCAAAGAGAAAGGAAAACTTGAAATCGCATCATATGACCCCTTTAAAATATTTGTTTATTTAATTATTTTTACAATCTAAGATTATAGATATAGATAATACCTGTATTAATGATAATATAGATTATTACCCCTAAAAACGGGATAAATCATTTAAAAAGTCGACCCTCCTGAAAGTCATTGTAGAACTCGTTTAATTTGAACGTGCGACAACGCGCGCTGCACTCTTTTTAATCAGTTGGCTGTACTTTTATTAAATAAATGAAACCGTGGAGGAGTTTTGTTTAGATGCTGCTTTCGTTTTCCCATTATCATGCATTCATTGTCTATGACTCACTACAAACGCGGAAGCATGACTACAAACATTACTTTCGTTTCGTAAGAAATCGATGATTTTCGAAACAGTCATCGGTTTCGCTCTCGTTTTCTCTTCTATTTAACGAGAGTGTGTTCCTCAGCCCAGGATGCACTGCAGAGAGACTCTTCTGGAGTCTGATCTTCTCGAGCATCAGCTGTGGTCATGTTGTGTTTTTGGGGAGCGCAGGTCAGAGAGGGTTTTGAGCTGGTGAAGCCTGACCAAGTCAAACATGGCGATTCTGGAATACGATCTGTGTGTCCGAAATCAGCAGTTCAGGACATGTCAGCTGGAAGGAGTTTTGTTGGGTTTATACGAGATGGGAAGGTCTCGGTCCTGAGATTGCGCAGTGAAGACTATGATCATGATGGAAAACTGAGTATGATATGTTTCACAAAATGATACTTTATTTAATTCATAAATTTGAAGACGTCATTATGTTTCATTATTTTCACATGTTTATATTTGAAATTACATGAGCTCCTGAGCTATACTGTATAGCCTATAATGTTTGTGACTTATTAATGGAATTAATCATAATTATATAAGTGTCTATTTGTTTATTTATAGTCTAAACAAAAGTTGAACTGATGAAAGTATTTGATTTACTCCAGAGCAACTACAGCTAAAGAATAAAATCAGACTGATCGTCTGTGGAGGAGATGGTGCGGTTTTTCTTGCTAATGGAGGAAATGTTCTCATTATGGACAAATCTACTGTGTGCAAGTATGTTTATGTAGGCAAAACAGTATAAATGACCATAAATGATAATAACAAGTATCTATCTGACAGATTGTCTTGTCTCTGCAGGCCTCTCAAAAGTCTGGATAACAGGCAGGTGATTCAGATCGCATGTGGAGACCATCATTCAGTGGCACTAACCAAGGGTATTAACAAGTATTCAATCTGCCATTTTGCTTTCATCTTTAGAGATCTTATGATTGAGATGAATTGATTGAGATTTGAGTGTAGATGTTCAGAGCTGTTGCTCTTTCAGATGGTCAGGTGTTGGTATGGGGTGAGAACTCTCATGGTCAGCTGGGTTTGAGGAAAGATCATCCCGGCTCTCCGTCTGCTCAACATGTTCAGAGTCTGAGTGGGATCCCGCTGGCTCAGATCAGCGCTGGAGGAGACCACAGCTTTGTGTTGTCTCTCTCTGGAGTCGTGTTTGGATGGGGAAAGAACTCTGCTGGACAGCTGGGCCTCGGAGACACTACAGGTCTTCTTGTTTCTTCATGTAAAAGCTAAATCAGTAACAGTATGAAACTACATATAAATGTATTACATTTGCGCAATACTGTGTCAAATCTACATCAAAGCATGAATATGATGTATTTGGAAGTGATGAATTGACTGTTTTACTACCACAGACAGACACGTCCCAACGGCTGTAAATAGTCTGAACCAGAAGAAAACTGTGTCCATCTCATGTGGAGGGGAACACACTGCCACTTTATCAAAGGTGTTATTTTGTAATATTTTATATATTCCAATTTGTAATACCATATTTAGCATACAACAAACTGGACAGAAAGTGTAATGGTTTATGTTTCAGGGCGGCACAGTGTTCACATTTGGATCCGGAGGTTGTGGTCAGCTTGGGCACAACTCATTTAGAGATGAACATCATCCGCGGGTGGTTACTGAACTGTGGGGATCTGAAGTGTCACAGGTCACATGTGGGAGGTAAAGACATTAGTTCATAAGCTTTATTAGCAATCAGCATCTCAGAGCAAGAGTACAGATTTCTTTCCTCACATGGTTAACATGTCTGATGTTTGAGTTCTGCTCAGTAATTATGCTTTTGATTCTTTCATTCATAAAGACATCACACACTCGTATCAGTCACATCGTCAAAGCTGATCTACTCGTTTGGATGTGGGACACAAGGGCAGCTGGGAAACGGAGAAATGATCAATAAGTCTGTGCCTTACCCTGTGGATCTGCCAACTGGTAATTATAAATCATCTTTGGTTATTTTATAATGAATACTTTTTACTCAAGATGTTGTTCAGAACTCTGAACTGAACTAAACATTTGTTGCACACAGAATGTAATCATGAATATACGATTGAAAAACTCCTTGCTGGGGAGAATCATTCCTTTGCCTTGTCTTTCAAGGTACAGTAAGACAGACAGGTTTAATTCAAATATTGTTTAACGATGAAATTATTGCTGCACTGTGATTACTTATGTGTTTTGTGTGTGTGTTGTAGGAACCTGGGAATGAGTCCAAACCAAATCCAAGCAGAGGGATTTTGACATTAGATGACAGAATGATTGAGCGATGGCTATCTAAAAGTGAACCAAGGAAAGTGGTAAAGAAAATGGCAAAGAAGTGAGTACTTGACTCAGTTTTATATATAGTGCTTACAGTGAGTTAAAAATGCTAAAGGCTCCTGAGTTTGTGTACCCATTTGTGTTATCTATCCATAAAATAGATTTTCTTAACATAAATGAATCGAGACATATGTCCCAATGAGATATAAATTAATAATAATAATTACAAATAAAACATATTAATTAATTAATATCAAAAACTATAAACAATATTATTTAAAGTGGAGTTTTGTTGTTTACAGGGACATAAACAAAGTATTCTCCTCTGCTGCCTCTCTGAATGGAAGCTTCCTCAAAACAAGGTAAATATCCTAATCACAATTAGATAGTCTTGTCTAGTAATTCCTCCTTTCTGTGCCTAAAATCATAATCTAAATGTCTGTTTTGTAGTTGCGACCAACATTATCAGACATCTGAGGATCATTGTGGGTTGGATTTTGATCTGGTTAAAACATCCTTTGCAAAGTTATCAAAGAATGAAAGCTTGATATCAGAGGTAATGATGAATCCAACATTTGCCAAAACTGTTCTTTACATTTTAAACAATAAGATGCAGTTAATGGTTTGTGTATCTCAGGTAGTGAAGGTGGTTGAACAGATGCTGCGATCTCTGAATCCAAATCCAACTGGTGTGGAATCGCTGAGAGTTTATCTTCTCCTCCCTGAGCTCATCAGACGTCTCCAGAAACATCGAAGAACTGAACTCACTGAAGCTCTGGCCTCCAAAATCCTTCAGCTGGATCCTGATTCTCACAAGGTGTTAGGTAAAGCTGGGAGAACTTTTCAGCCTTTATGTTGTTGTCCTTGTTGTATTTGTCTAAGTATTTGTATGTTATATTCTCAGAGAAGTACTGGTCCAAACTCCCTGATGGTTGGCTCAAAGGCCTGGTGAAGTTATTTAGAAAAGCTTCAACTTCCATGATTGGCAGGATTGCTGCTGACAGCATGAACTTGGACATAAAAACACGCCTGCCGAAATTTGTGCAGATCCTTGCGATGGTCTATCAGGTGCCTTTATTGTATTTGTATATATATATATATATTTTATATTTCATCAGAAGTAAACATTTAAAGGGATACTTCACCAAAAAATGAAAATTCTGTCATTAATTACTCACATGTCGTTCTAAACCCGTAAGACCTTCATTCATCTTCGGAACACAAATGAAGATATTTTTGATGGAATCTGAGAGCTGACCCTCTCATAGACAGCGATCAATGCACAGAAACGTAGTAAGGACATCTGTAAAATAGTCCATGTGACATCAGTGGTTCAACCGTAATTTTACGAAGCTACGAGAATACTTTTTCAACTTATTCAACAATTCTTCTCCCCGAGTTACCATCTTCCGCATAATCAGTGTTGTTTATGTTCAGCATGCAAGCGGTGTCTACTGAACGTAAACAATGCTGATTACGTTCTGGGGTACTCTCCAAAATGGCGGAAGACGGTAACTCGGGGAGAAGAATTGTTGAATAAGTTGTTATTATTGTTTTCCTTGCGCACAAAAAAGTATTCTGGTAGCTTCGTAAAATTACGGTTGAACCCCTGATGTCACACGGATTATTTTACCGATCTCCTTGCTACGTTTCAGTGCGTTGATCATGTTAGGATCATTGCTGTCTATGAGAGAGTCAGAGAGCTCTTAGATTCCATCAAAAATATCTTAATTTGTGTTCCGAAGATGAACGAAGCTCTTACGGATTTGGAATGACATGAGTGTGAGTAATTAATGACAGAATTTTCATATTTGGGTGAACTATCCCTTTAACCTTTAAATTTCTTATGCATTTGTGTCTTTGTTCTGAAGGTCTGCTGCAGTGCTAACAGAAACATCACAAAGAGTGATTTCATTATTAATGAGATCAATGATCTACTAGATGTGGTGAGAACCAAACAATTGTGTGTATTGGCTTTTGGCCGATAATTATACAATATCATCTATATCTTTTTGATTGGCAACAGTAAATACGGAAGCAATCACTGTATTTGTCATACAAATATGACTGAAGTTAAAAACATATTTGAAAACACATTTAGATTAGATTTAATTCAACCATAGTTATCTGCTGATATTTTCAGAACTAATATACTATTTGAATATTAATACCAGTTACAATAAACAAACTGGATAACCAAAAGGTTATAAGAAAACCAAAAATACTAGAAATTTTTGTTTCCCCCAAATCAACAGCTGCAAACCATCAATGACGATATGAATAACAACTGGGTGATGTTGAACTGGACTGGACAAATCCAAGCAGTGATAGACCAGCAAAACTACTACAATGTGAGCACCAAAGGCATTTGGCCATATCTGATATGATATGATATGCATCCAAATTTCAGATCGACTAACATGAACATGATATTTCTTTTGTTTTAGGCAATCCTAAAAAATCTTATATCACTTCCATGCATCTTTAACCTGGAGGCCAAATGTAGCTATATGAAAAACAGAGTGTGGCAGGTAATTTAGTTTTGGCCTTAAAAAAAATCAACCTGAAGGTTTCCTGGCAATTCTTTTTTTTTAACACAGAATGAAATATTTTATTTGCAGGGTTGTTTTCCGCTGACCCTGAGACGCACAGCGCTGCTGGAGGACAGTTTCTCTCAGCTGAGAATGGCCACTCAGCAACAACTCCGAGAATTTTGGCTGTCGGTAAGGAAAGAGAACAATGCAAAGCTTTAATTGGATAGCATACAGGGCATTTTTTTATTTTAATACATTTTAATTTATTTTAAACCAAATTAGGACCATACTAACAGACTTATGAGCTGCAGTATGAATGAATTCTTTTGGTTATCTAACACAGGTGTTTTACACAGAGGATATGAGAAAAACAGATGTCAACAAGAGGGACTTTTTTCACAACGTGTTTGAAGAGCTTTGTGCACCAGAGTCTCAGATGTTTATGTACAATGATAACCAAACTATGAGCTGGTTCCCAGCACAGGTAAGGCAAAATCTCTTTTTCATTAGATCATGCTAAAGACGTAAATGTAACAAAGTTTAGTTAAATCAGGTTACATACCATTCACACATGCATTTGCTTTGAAAAAAATGTGAGATGTGGACAGTGGAATGGGGAAAAAATGCAAGGTCTCGAGACGTTTTTTTTTTAAAGTTGAACTTTTTTTAACTTAAACTCAGAATACTGTGTCATGCGCTAGATGCTGCAAAAGAACCATTACCAAAAAGTAGTATACTTCAAGTTAATTTTATTAAGTATACTTAAGTAAAGTTCAAGTATATTTTTAAGTATACTTTATGTAGTAAGTATACAAATATCAGTGTACTAGTAGTATACTTGTAAGTGTACTATTTCAGTTCTCCTTGGGACTGAATTGGCCCACTTTCTAGTATATAAAAGTATACTTTTAAGTATACCTTAAGTATAACAGTAGTAAACTTTAAGTACACAACTAGTTTACAACAATATTTTTAGCTTGTACTGCAACTATACTAAAAGTGAACATATGAATACTGATAGTTTTCTAATTAAATACTTAAAGCATTTTTAGTACACTCTGAAGTATAGTCTTAGTAAACTACTAGTTTAGTAGTTTTATACTGCAAGTATACTCGTAAGTTTTTTTTAAGTGAACTTTACATCATACTTTAAGTATACTACTATGTCTCTATTTAGGTATTAATTTGTTTATATTTTGTTATATAAATATCCGAACATACAAAACACCAAAAGAAAGAACAGGGTATCTGCTTGTAAACAAAAACATTTTATTCTAGCTTCATGCATTCTTTTTTTAAACACTTGAATGTGGGTAAGTTTCATAAAGAAAAAAAGAAAAAAAAAGAAACAACATTTTGAACAAAAAGCTGAAAAAAAGACTATGAATTGGATTCAGAACAATAATATAAACGATCAACACCCCAAAGCTTGACAGTCATTATTACCTCTTCATTGGTTGACATTACATCAACTTTACACAGTTTTGATGCTGTTTTATGTCTGATGATCCTGTTAGAATACATGTGGAAGCATCTGTTGTTTCGGTTTCTTCTTCACTTAGTTTTTTGGAAATTCTCTACAGAAAATGTGTACTAGCGCCCCCTACAATATAACAATGAAAACACGGATTCTAGGAACACAAGTACAGCTCAAATATATTTAGACTTTTTCTAAGTAGGCTATAAGTCAAGTATACTTAAATGTCATTTTAAGTATATTTCTGAGAAGTACATAAAGTCCATTTCTGAGAAGTACATAAAAAGTAGACTAAAAGTATACTTTCCTATTGTTTAGTTTAAAAGAAGTATATTAATAGCACACTTGAAAAAACTTCTTTTTTGTAAGGGAAGTGAGACATGAGCGGGCTAGTGCGCATTTACATAGAATGGAAAATGTGTGAACGGCCTGTAAGATACCTAATGCCGCTTTTGTGTTTTCCTATTGTTCTCTTTGGCCTTAACCACATATCATCCCACAACAGCTCAGCGTGGAGAAGGAGAAGTACTTCCTGTTTGGGATTCTGTGTGGCTTGGCCTTCAACAACAACTCTGTAGTGCATCTGCCTTTTCCTTTAGCCTTGTTCAAGAAACTTCTCAATGTCAAACCATCTCTTGAAAACTTGATTGAGTTTGATTCATGTCTTGGCAAGTGAGTGTTTTTACAATTAATGTTATCTTGATTCTCTTGGTATATTTTTGTATCACTGCTAAAATGCATGTCCATGTTGTATGAATGTGCAGCCATCTATCACATATTGAGTAGCAATGTTTAATGAATCTGAAACATGATGTTCTCAGGAGTTTGCAGTACATCCTAGACTACAGCGAGGATGTTGAGGAAATGGAGATGTACTACACGGTTAGTTTGATTCTCATGTACTTTGCATAAAGCACACCCGGACGTATCATTAACCAGCTGTACATACACATAACTGTGTTTTATGCAGAGGATCCTCACCGTTTTTTTACGTATTTATGATTAAATATATTTAAATATATTAAAATATCTATTTATAAAATGTAATCTTAACATGTTTATAAGGCCACCCAGAGTGTGTGAATTTTGCGTATGTATGATTTCAGGTTTTAAATTTTTTTTATTCAACATTTCATACATTTCTAATATATTTTAGAATGAAAGTTATTGGTGAATCATCAGTTGCTAGTGATAATATGATCATGTTTTTACACAGATTAAGAGTTTTTTTTATCTTTATACATAAGATCATATGGCACGGAATAGAAATCGAACTGGATCCAGCTGAGCCAGGAAAAATGGTCACAAATTCTAACAGGTCAGGGCTTTTTGTTTTATAATTTTTTTTTGAGAAAGATCATTTTACAGAGACACCAACATAACCACCACTAGAGCATTTTATTATTTTTGCTTTTTCTTATTTTTGGACATAGGATAATATTTTACAATCTTAGGAAACAAAACTCATTATTTTTATTGTTAAATATAATTTCTGCAACAGAGAAGACTTTGTGGACAAGTATGTGGATTATATCCTGAATAAATCAGTGGAGGAAGTGTTTGAAGAATTCAAGAGAGGCTTCTTCAAAGCATGTGACCGATGCATGGTGGAGATGTTTGAACCGGAGGAGCTGAGAGGAGTGCTGGTGGGCAATGAGGAATATGACTGGGACATACTCAAACAGGTCCATGCTAACACATAATATGTCAAACAGACATGCATAACTACTATGCTCTTGACATTGTGAACGATTGTGAATACTGTCTACATGTATTCTTTCAATCAATAGAACACTACATATGAAGGATCATTTTATGCTGGGCATCCAACCATCGTCTCATTCTGGGAGGTGTTTGATGAACTGACATCAAATGAGAAGAAGGCCTTTCTGTGTAAGTTCACTAGTACAGTTCACATTTGTGTAAGTTCACAGTTTTTTGAAAAGAGATGTGGTTTAAAGGGGTCATAAGGATGCCCATTTTCCACAAGTTGATATGATTCTTTAGGGTCTTAATGAAAAGTCCTTAACATAGTTTGGTTAAAATTTCACAGTGGTAGTGTAAAAAACACCTTTTTTACCCTGTCAAAAACAGCTCTTTTCAGAGCAAGCAGATTTGTAGCATTTTCCTTTAAATGTTAATGAGCTCTGCTGACCCCGCCCCTCTCTTCCGAGAAAGACTGTTTACTTTAGCTGCATTCATCGTGAAACTTGCTAATTAGCACATTATTAGGAAAGGCGATTTGCAAAGATTCGTTAAAAAAAACCTTACAATCACTTCTTCTGTAGGTGAAGCTGGATCACGAATGATTCGCATGATCATAGACGCATTTATGTAGATCGAGGGCACATTCCCTTCAGAAACAATGTAATCTGCGTCTTCAGCGACTCAGATGTCGGGAGTAAATGACGACTGCTATGTTCATTATTACATCCAACAACAGAACACCTCAATCGCTTAGGAGTCATTCTTGTCTACATGTGCTCCTGCTGTGAAACAATGGCGGACTGATGATGGCTCACTCAGGGCGGGTCTAAGATAAGACGCCAGTCCAGTCTGTGCTGAGACGCTACTGTCAATCAAACTATCGTGGGAGGGGCCTGTCTGTGTGACATCACACAGACAGGCTTCTGAGATCGGCAATTTTTAGAAATTTTAAAGAAATTTTAGTCGATTAACAAAAAACCACTGGGTGGATTTTTATCATTTTAGGGTGGTTGTGTACACACACTGCCAACACACATTTCAGTTCAAACAACTTGTAAAAGTGCATATAGCATTATATGACCCCTTTAAGAAGTCACACTTAATTTTTTTAGTTGTTGTTGTTGCATCTACTCAAGCTACTCCTACAATTTTGACTTTGTACTGTATGCCAAGACACATCCAGAGTGTTTTCAAATAACTCTTCCCCCATTTCCTTTCTCTAGTGTTCTTGACCGGGTTCGAGAAAGTGCCCATTCTGGGTATGAGTGCGGTGAAGATGAGAGTGAGACCCCTGTTCATCTTTACTCAGGACCATCTACCACAGGCCCTCACCTGCCATGCTCTGCTAGACCTTCCTGTTTATCAGAAGAAGGAAACGCTAAAGGCTAAAGTAATCGAAGCCATCCACCACAAGAGAGGTTTCTGGGAAGAATGAGGCAGATGCTGGAGTACACCAACTAAAATCTAAAGTTTGATCTTTTATCTTTCTTGGCATTAAATATAAATATATATATTTCTTAATATATAAGCGAGATCGGGGTTTGTTGTAAGAACTTTAACAATCAGTTTCTGCTTTAATGTGTGAAAAAAAATTAAGGAAAGTACAAAGTTTACATTTATAACCACTACCCGAGAAATCGGAGAGGTTTGTTTTTCAAATGCTGTAATTTCTGTGATGTGTTGTATTATGAACTTAATTTGAAATAAATGTTAATATAATCATTTTTAATTTAAATGTAAACTCCTATTTTAAATAATTATTTATTTTATTTGTATCTTTTCAAACCAAGATTAAATAATGGAAAAAAAAATTTAATAAAAAACATTAGAAAAAGAAGTGTGGATTTTTTGAGTGTTTTCTCTCTTCTCCAATGTAAAAATCAGTCTTAAAAACAAGATTTGTGCCAACTAATTTTTTTATTGGATTTTTTTTTCCATCTCTGCTACAATGGACTCCAGGCCTGAAACAACATCAAATTCCACATATTTTAAGCATACTTATGCACTAGAGTTTAAACATACACAGAATGTTATATTATAGTTTTGACTTTTTACATCTGACATGCTGCTTTGCTATTTCGTGTACAATTACTGATGCCAAAACTTTAAATCAAATCGGTCTCCAACACTGCATTTGTTAATAAACTATATTAATTAATAACTGATGTGCACATGTGTCGCCCTCTAGTGACTCAAACACTATTAAAGAGCTGGTTGACAGAAGTCACGTGATCAGTGACGCCGTAATCTGAGTCGTAACTTCCTTGTTTTTGTCGGAACCATTAAACTGAAACCATTCCAGTAATATACGGTCAAAATAAACAGGAGACGAAATGCACATTACCAGGTAACATTTATCTGCTTTAAACCATCTCCCTAAATATCTGTTTATTTTTGACTTGTGTTAGACAGGGCACAGCATTTGCGTGATGACAGTTTAGTGAGTGTCAGTGCGCAGTTAACTTACGTGTCAGTTTGTCCTGATATTATCCTGAATATTAGTATTGAGGTACTGTATTTAACGCATGCACAGTCCAATGAGATGTTTGAGTATTATCATCTGCAGTATATGAACTACATCATGATTTGGCTTATTGAAGACATGAAATGTGTCAGGCTTGTTCTTACAGGCCGAACTCAGATTGAACCCACATTTGAAAGATTTCCAAACCTAGCGTGCAGCCTATCTAGACATTTCTGACCATGACAGGCACTTTTGATGAGAAGGTTCGGAAAACGCCCATGACGTTCATAAAATCGATTTGAATGTCGAACTTTCAGTAATTTACGCGCCAATAACACGCACAACGTCCAATATTCTCAACGCACACGTCTCCAATCATTTGTTATTTCGAAACGCGCCTAATATGATGTCCCAACAATTAGGTTCGAACGTGCTGAATTTGTTCATGATGCTCAAAAATATGATTCGAACGTTCAGAACACGCCTATGATTCTCCAGACATTAGATTCGAATTTTCGGAACACTCCTATGATTCTATAGAAAATGTATTCGAGCGTTCAGCGGTACCCATTTATGACCAGATTACAAGTAACGCGAGTTACGTAATCGGATTACTTTTTTCAAGTAACTAGTAAAGTAACGCATTACTTTTTAATTTACAAGAGAATATCTGAGTTACTTTTTTCAAACAAGTAACACAAGTTACTTTTTTGTTCCAATGTATTGACTGACAGCTCTAGCGTTTCCCAAAAGTGCCCTTAGCTAATAGTCCTATTGATGTCTGTTGGTAATGACGGAACTTGCGACCATAATTGCTTTTGGGAAGCACATTCAAATAATTGTAATATTCATGGTGTTGCATGGATATATATTGCTAACAAAATTGTAAATATATTAAAATATTTTGTCCGCCCTAGTATGATAACTGAGTACACAAACCTGTCCCCTGCCTAGACGTGTACGCCCACTTTTATTAGTACATGTTTTAGAGAGTGAAACCAGGTGGTTTATGATCTGCATTCTTGTCTCAAGGGCCCGGCCGTCCACACTAGCTGTCATTTACACACACACTGCCCAATATGGAAAGAGGAATGGGGTGTGACCTCTTCCCTTCCCCTCTACTGATTTCTCACCTATTTGCTTTCCATTGTGTTGGTTTCTAAAAAGTTTGCATTGTGGAAATGCATTCTGGTGTGGTTTTGTTCTTTATTTTTTTTTATAAATAGCTGTATTGGCTATTATTTACTATGTTAAGCATGAAATTCGTAACAGATGTTGAGCAATTATTCTCTTTTTTACCCCACATCAGGATTGCGGATTATATAGATTCAGATTTTTTTTTTTTATGTGCTACAGTGAAAAGCTCTTGAATGATGAATGATGTCTATCAAGCATCCATTCTGGAGAGTGATTGTGTGTCTCTCATAGAGCTGGTAAGAGCTCTGGATGCTCAGAAGATCGCCGGTGTGTCGTGTGGGCAGGCTCACTCTCTGGCGGTGAACGAGCAGGGGCAGGTGTTTGCCTGGGGGGCCGGAGAAGGAGGGCAGCTCGGTCTGGGTACGGCTGAAGAGGCTGTCCATGTACCCAGGTGAAATGTTACACACTTTATGCAAGATTTTGTGAATCAATAAAAACATTTTATAAACTTTATAAAGCAGAGTTTAAAGAATAGTTCACCATAACACTTTATACATGGTGATCTGCAAACTCATAATTCAGAGTTTTCTGTTTTGTTTTCTATCAGCTGTGCATGAGAACAGTCAAGTTTCAAGCATGTGATGCATTGATTCCTGTTATTACATTTATACTTTCCTTTTTTGTGGTGTAAATGCTTTTTCAGATGCTGCTTCCTTTGCATTGTAACGTCTGCTCTTGATAGGGGAATGAGGATTTAATTGCCTCGTGCTCGTGAGGGGGTCCCTGCATGGGGCCTTTCACACCGCAGGGGGCACCCGAACGCAAGTGATTTGGACTTAATGTTAGTTATAATGTGCTATTACTAAAAGTTCTTCTGTTCTGTTGTGGCTCTAGTACTGCTGAATAACCCACAACAGATAAAACCACATTTCTTGACACGCAGCCCTTGATTTTAATTCATTTGAACATCACTTGTCATCTTGTTATTTGAATGATTTCATGAGCGCAGTGTGGTCAGAGCGAGTTAATGATTAAGGGTTATTTATTTGGTTTCGTGGTGTGATGAGATCAAGGCCACTGGCATTTGATTGCGAGATTCTTGGTCAGCCAGTAAATTAAGAATTTCGTTATTAAATATTTTGGATACTTTGATCATGCTTTCAGCTACCAATAATAATGCCGTACTCTCAGGTTCATTTACAACATAAAGTAGTCACCATATGTAACTTTTTACAACATTACAAGTTAGAATTAGCAGGAAATCTGACTCTATGTTGCGATTGAACAGGACGTCACCGGAGAAGGAGGGCAGCTCGGTCTGGGTGCGGCTGAAGAGGCGGTCCGCGTGCCCAGGTAAAACGTTACAGCACTTTGTTATGCAAAAGTTTTGTGAATAAATAACGTTTTATAAACTCATAAATGAGAGCAGTCTGAGTAAAATGTCAAAAGCAGAGTTAAGGGAATAGTTCACTCAAAACACTTTTCTTTAACATTTTAAATATGGTGATCTGCAAACTCATAATTCAGAGTTTTCTGTTTTGTTTTCTATCAGCTGTGCATGAGAACAGTCAAGTTTCAAGCATGTGATGCATTGCTTCCTGTTATTACATTTATACTTTCCTTTTTTGTGGTGTAAATGCTTTTTCAGATGCTGCTTCCTTTGCATTGTAACGTCTGCTCTTGATAGGGGAATGAGGATTTAATTGCCTCGTGCTCGTGAGGGGGTCCCTGCATGGGGCCTTTCACACCGCAGGGGGCTCCCGAACGCAAGTGATTTGGACTTAATGTTAGTTATAATGTGCTATTACTAAAAGTTCTTCTGTTCTGTTGTGGCTCTAGTACTGCTGAATAACCCACAACAGATAAAACCACATTTCTTGACACGCAGCCCTTCATTTTAATTCATTTGAACATCACTTGTCATCTTGTTATTTGAATGATTTCATGAGCGCAGTGTGGTCAGAGCGAGTTAATGATTAAGGGTTATTTATTTGGTTTCGTGGTGTGACGAGATCAAGGCCACTGGCATTTGATTGTGAGATTCTTGGTCAGCCAGTAAATTAAGAATTTCGTTATTAAATATTTTGGATACTTTGATCATGCTTTCAGCTACCAATAATAATGCCGTACTCTCAGATTCATTTACAACATAAAGTAGTCACCATATGTAACTTTTTACAACATTACATTACAACGATGCATCCACCTGCTTGGACCTTTGACCCTTTTACATAATACTAAATGACTTTCTTATTTATTATTATATAACAAATTTTATAATTATTTTATATTTATTTTATTTATAAAAAAATATAGGAATGAGTATGTTTTTGTTTTCAAGAATTTTTCAGATTTTTTCCCAGATGTGTAGCTCCCTCAAAATACATAATTTTGATTATTATATAAAAATATATTATTATTTTATAATTATTTTATATTTTATAATTTCTAAAATCTGTTTAGAAGTTACATTTTTCCCCTTTTGAAGATTCTTGGTCAGCCAGTAAATTAAGAATTTCGTTATTAAATATTTTGGATACTTTGATCATGCTTTCAGCTACCAATAATAATGCCGTACTCTCAGGTTCATTTACAACATAAAGTAGTCACCATATGTAACTTTTTACAACATTACATTACAACAATGCATCCACCTGCTTGGACCTTTGACCCTTTTACATAATACTAAATGACTTTCCTATTTATTATTATATAACAAATTTTATAATTATTTTATATTTATTTTATTTATAAAAAAATATAGGAATGAGTTTGTTTTTGTTTTCAAGAATTTTTCAGATTTTTTCCCAGATGTGTAGCTCCCTCAAAATACATAATTTTGATTATTATATAAAAATATATTATTATTTTATAATTATTTTATAATTTCTAAAATCTGTTTAGAAGTTACATTTTTCCCCCTTTTGAATTTCACTGAAGTGAGTTTTTAAATTAAGAATTAAACTAAGAATTTGATCATTAAAGAATCAAAATGTTAAATCCATTCCTCTAAATTTCACAGATTTCCTCCCACAATTGATGCAAAAACTGCAACAAAAAAAAAATCACATTCCATGTGGACTTAGTCATCACTGTAATATGAATATGTATAAATGTATGTATTTTCTATTGTTATTTATCAGGTGATTTACCAGGTGCACTTGTTAGGAGATGTCGTCCAGAACTTGCTTTCTTAATTAAGTGTATTTATTTCTTTAGGTTGATTAAAAAGTTGTGCGAGCATCGAATCTCACAAGTGATGTGTGGCAACCAACACTGCATAGCGCTTTCAAAAGGTAAGTGTAGACTTATCAATAGTTTTGTTTTCTGCTGTGCCAAAAAATGAGGTTTTTCCTCCTCGTCTCAGATGGTCAGCTGTTTGTATGGGGTGAGAACTCCAGCGGTCAGCTGGGTTTAGGGAAGGGAGAGCCCAGCACTCTGTCTCCTCAAACACTCAAATCTCTTTGTGGGATCCCACTGGCTCAGATCAGCGCTGGAGGAGACCACAGCTTTGCCCTGTCGCTGTCTGGAGCCGTGTTCGGCTGGGGGAAGAACAGCGCGGGGCAGCTGGGCCTCAATGACGAGCAAGGTAAAACGCACACGCTGACCTAGAGGTTAACCAAAAGGTTGCTGGTTTGAATTCTGCAATGGACTTGAATAGGCATCATTTTTGTCTATAATCTCATAGACCGGGCTGTTCCCTGTCACATCAAGTTCCTGCGCTCACAGAAGGTGGTGTACATCAGCTGTGGAGAGGAGCACACCGCTGCCTTGACAAAGGTATTGATCATACAGCCAAAGTATAGCAGTGTGCTGAAAAACACATACTTATTCGAAAACAGTGTTGCCCTTTAGCAATATTTTACATATGTATCCAAATGTTTTGAGTCTAATTGCTGTAGTTATTTGAACATCCATTAGTTTAATCGTTATTCTTTTTTTAGTTACTGTCTGAAAATGTTTTGATAAGAATTCTAGAACTATAGTAGGTTAATATGGAAAGTTGTTCAGTTGTATTTGTCATGTTCAATCCTGAGCATTGAAGCATTGCTGTTTGTGCTGTGTTTGCTTCAGGAAGGGGGTCTGTTCACATTTGGAAACGGTTCAAGAGGACAGCTGGGCCACGATTCCACCAGAAACGAGCCTCTTCCACGCAGAGTTATGGAGCTCATGGGCACTGAGGTGTCTCAGATCGCTTGTGGGCGGTAAGTATATGCACTAGACAAGATGCACATTTCTGTGTCCATCTGTTTTAGATTGGTGAATGTGCTGATTTCCTTTTAGTGTTAGCTTTAATTTTGTGTCATTTTGCAAAGCATACTAACACCGTATGGATAATGCGCACATTTTTATTTTTATTTTTGAGTAACCGTTGTGTATTAATACCGTTTTAATACAATTTATCGTTAATACAGTATGAATTTTATTTAGCAAAGAAGCATTAACCCTTTTAAAAGTGATCAAAAGTGACAGTAACATAATTTATGTTAAAAAATGCTGTTCTTTTCAAATGAAATTTCTATTTAGCAGAGAATCCTGAAAAACATGGAATGGTTTACACAGCACATGTGTTTTTAACACTGATAATAAGATTTCTTGAGCATCAAATCAGTTTTCTGAAGGATCATGTGACACTGAAGACTGGAGTAATAATGCTGAAATTATATTTTAAAATATATTCAAATGGAAAACAATTTTCAATCATACTATTTCGCAATATTATTGTTTTCACTGTATTTTTGGTCAAATAATTGCAGCCTTGTTGAGCATAAGATCTTTCAAAAACATTAAAATATCTTTTACTCTTCCTAAACTTTTTAACGGTAGTGTAAATTATTTTTAAAAACCACAGTTGAAAAAGAAATGAATGTGATCCTGATCTCTGGAAATCAGCATCCACTGAAATCATGTCGTTCCAAACCCGTAAGACCTTCGTTTATCTATTATCTTCGTTTTATTCAGAGGTGTATTTAACTGATTTATTTAAAAATGTATCACCTGAATGTGTAGATTTGAAACGTCTTTTAGAACATTTGGTATTTGTATACCTTGTGTCATTTATTCTGAGATCGCCATTAAAATAGCTGGCATGGCCTTAAAAAGCGAATAAATAATAAATAATAAACCTTAATTTATCTTGAGAACACAAGTGAAGATATTTTTGGTGAAATCTGTTTTAACGATATCTTTACTACCTTTCTGGGTCTTGAAAATGGCAGTTCCATTGCTGTCTATGCAGGGTCAGAAAGCTCCCGGATTTCATCAAATATACCTTTATTAATTTATTTATCTTTATTTTAATATCTAAATATATTTTTGGGTGAACTATCCCTTTAACCATTAGTATACAGTAGATAATTATTGAAATGAATCAAACTATTTAATGCAGCCATGTGTTTTGCTGTGTGAACAGAAATATGATGTAAACATAAAACTTTTTAAACTGACTAATAGTCACTCAGCACACTCTTTTATACAAAGTGATTTACATTGCACTAAGTACAGGGCCATTTATCGCCGAATAGTAACTAAACTCCTCCATAAACAACATGCAGTAATTCATATGGTTAATAAATAGCTCATTTTGTGCATGCAGTCATCAGATAAGTATGAGAAGGGATATTTGACAGCATACCTCTGTGTGTACGTCACAGGCACCACACCCTGGCATTCGTGCCCTCCACTGGTCTGGTTTACGCTTTCGGCTGCAACACTCAGGGCCAGCTGGGTACAGGCCTCAGAGGAAATGCTAAGAGCCCCCTTCCTGTCAGAAACGTCCAGCCCCTGTGCATTGGAAATACACACACAAGTATGTTCACATGTTCGAATGGATTAAATAAATAATCAAAAACGAATTATAACAAGCCAAATGTTAATTTACTGATTTGCACCATTATTTAATGCCTTATCTCATTTTGCGCTTGACAAGGCTGTGATAGTTGCTCATTTGTGCCGCTCTTAGTAGATTGTGTTGGTCATTATGGAAATGATCCGGCTGCATCTGTGTTCTTTTATTTGTGCGTTGTCAGTAGATCGTCCACAGAACTTTTATAGAATTGCTGTCTCATGCTGATGTGCCCGGTTTAGTAAATCTGGCCCCAAGTATGTATTTAACATTCATATTAGAGCTTTAATGTGAATTCCTTTTGAAGAAATAAATATTATTAAAAGAATAAAACAGTTCAGACGTCAGCTGTTGCACAAAAATAATTATCTGTCGCACTTTCTGTATTTTGAATAGAGGTAAATTTGAGCCTAACCCTAATGAATGAAAAACCTCCATACAATTTCACTGGAGTTGAGTGTTTTGTTTCGCGGTACCATGCTTTAATGGTTTTCCATCTGAAGCAGATATAGAGGGTCTGCTATTCTGAGGGAGTGAATAATTAGTCCTCTAACTGGAGTGATAGGGATTGTTATAGAGACTGTGTGTCCATGCAGGGATGGTCAGATGTAAATAGACAGCATTGAAGAGGATCTGTAGTTTGGTTTGTGATTCATCTGATGGCTGGATCTGTCAGAGGCCTTAGTGTGTGTGTGTGTGTGTGTTGTTTTGATGACCGCACAGAAGGTTGAATGCACAATTTAGTATGTGTGGATGTGTAAAAATAGTAATAATTTGAAAATGAGTCTCTTTAGTTCTCCTTCAGATTCTCCGACAGATTGTCCTTCAGACAGTCAACTGTCCTGTATGCAGAAATGATTGAACGCTTTTAGCATAAAGTAGGTATGCATTTTGCAGAAAAAGTGCCTGGTATCCATTCTAGAATTGTTGATAAGTTTGAACTCATTAATAACACACATAGATAACTAACACTCATTCTTCATGTGCTTTGTTATTATATAACTACTGTATAAAAGGAACCACTTATGTTCTTTGTCTACAGAAGGCGAGCGCTACACCATCCGTAAAATTCACAGTGGAGGCGATCACAATTTCCTGTTGTTGTCTACTAAGGAGGTAACCATGCTGATTTTCACTGGAGTGTCATTAAGAGCTGTGAAACAACTCTGCTGATGCTGTACTGATTGTTTGGATATGTTTCGTTTACAAGCATATTCAATAAATTAGTGCAATATATTTTCACAGAATATAAAGTATAGCGAGTCAGTACCTGCTCATACTACAAGCTTCTGTGTGATTTTAATATTTACATTTAGGCAGTTTTACATTTGCTCTTGTGAAAATAAAAAAGTGGCTGCTAGGAGGTCAGTACTTGCTCTTATCCACATGGTGGCGCCGTTACATCAATATAATGGGCTTACAGGACATGACAAAAAACACTGCTGTTGCTCTCACTTATGTGATATGTTTTATTTCTTCTTAATTAGACCAGTTAATGCTAAAACCATTATAACCGGCTTGTTATGTTTATACTTGGAGTATATTGTGACCTGAAGTGTTTGTCTGTGTGTTTGAGAACAGGGTTCATCTTGTCCCGAGGATTTCCGCATCATGAATACCATCAAAAGCATCGCTCTGATTAATTCTGAGAGTCTGGACAGCTGGAGGATGAAGCTCCATGACAACAGCGATTCAAGCATCACCAAGTGAGTGAGTGTGTGACATTATCCGGTTTGATTACTGTTATGGCAGAGGCCTCGCTGAAATCTTCCACATGGCAACCATTTATTATTTCAAAGATCATAAATGAAAGTATTTAACTTTCATAGAATGACATACACTATCATTCAGTCTGTTTTTGACAAAAGTGCCCACCAAGGCTGCATTTATTTGATAAAGTATATAGTAAAAACGGTAATATTGGGAAATATTATGACAAATTAAAGAAACTATTTTCTATTTGAATATATTTTAAATTGCAATATATTCCTGTGGTCAAAGCTGAATTTTCAGCATTATTACTCCAGTCTTCAGTGTCACATGATCCTTCGGAAATCATTATATTTACATTACGTTTAGTCATTTAGCAGACGCTTTTATCCAAAGCGACTTACAAATGAGAACAATGGAAGCAATTCAAAGTCAACAAAAGAGCACTGATATGCAAGTGCTATAACAAGTCTCTGTTAGCCTAACACAGTACACGTAGCAAGGGTTTTTCTTTTTAATTACAGTATATAATAAATAAAAAGAAAACGGATAGAATAGAGTAAGCTAGTGTTAGAGGCCTTTTTTTTAATTGTATAATAAATAAAAAGAAAACAAATAGATAGAATACAAAACGAATAGAGAAGCTAGTGTTAGTTTTTTTTAAGAAAACAAGCAGTTAGTAAATGAATAGTGCAAGTTTTTTTTTATTAAATTTTTTTTATTCTTATTATTTTTTAAATCATTCTAATAGGATGATTTGCTGCTCAAGAAACATTATTTTATTATTATCAGTGTTAAAAACAGTTGTGTTGCTTCATAGCAGTAATGATTATTTGATGAATTGAAAGTAAAAAAGCATTTATATGAAATGGTAATCTTTTGTAACCCTATAAATGTCACTTGATCAATTTTATACATCCTTGCGGGAAAAAAAAATCTGAGATGAAGTTATCAAATTGCAAAAAAATTCAAATGATTATTTTTTTAAATAAATGAGGTCAGTTGTGATGTATCTGTCGAAGCACGTTGTATAAAATATTTGTTATTATTTTGATGCTGAATTCAAATCTCTTGACTCCTCCCCATCTAGTGACATCTTACTCCTGTTTTCCTCAACTGCATGTTGGAATGCCAGCTTTTTGGATCAAAGGTGAGCAGTTAAGATATTTCTGCCTTGCCAGTAAGCGTATGCGCACAGGGTGACACCATGGAGAGCAGGGTGCTTGGGATTTTTCCATAAGTGACTTCTGCTTAACGTCAGTAGGAAAATTCTTTGTAGGTACCAACAAAGCTCCCGGTTACTGCTCTTTCTGTAAAAGAACAGTCCCACTTACAGAGCAAATGGGACTTGATGGATATCTTTATCTGATGTTCTGAATCGTTGATTAATCGTTCTGCCTCATTCTGCCTGATGCAGTCCTCGATGTTCATAATCTGCACTGCAGCCGAAAACATTTTAAGAGATTATCTGGTTACATAAGGAACAACTAGTGTTGCTGGTGTTCAGACGGGGTATTATGGGTTGTGAAGTCAAATCTTCATTTTAAAATGCAGTTTTGTGTACGTGTTAAAACTCTGCTGAGCACATGTCCCAACGCTGGGTTGACGGGCATTTGGAGCAACACATGGTGCCATGGAGTCTATAGCACACATAAAACTCTAGATGTATTGAAGTTATTTAAACTCTAGTTTATTTAATTCATTTGAAGAGTAGAGGTTTCTGTAGGTCAGAAATTTGCGCTACTGACTGTGCAGCTTTATTTTTATAGATTGAAATGGATCGTATTGGTTTTGGATTGAATCACATCAACTAAGTCTAATTGCTCCACAATTAACCTCTTTGACCAAAATGAATGTAATTGGATTCAACTTAGTCTGATCTATCAAATCAAGTTAAATCAGATTTATTTGATTCAGACTGGATCGAATGGATTTGAACCAAAACAGTAATTAATAGTTAAACACATTTTAGATGATTTACTTTTTTAGATGACTCAAATTGAAAAAAAAAAAAAAAATGAACAGTCAATTGCAGCTAAATTGATTTGAAATGAGTCAGAATGCTCAAATCCAACTAAACTGAATTATAATGAATCAGATCAGTCATATCCAGTTAAATCTAATTAAATACATTAGAAATAAGTTGAAATGAATCCGATCAATCAAATCAAATTCAAATCGACCAGATTCTATTAAAGGGGTCATATGATGCGATTTCAAGTTTTCCTTTCTCTTTGGAGTGTTACAAGCTGTTCGTGAATAGATAAGATCCCTAAAGTTGCAAAGACTAAAGTCTCAAACCCAAAGAGATATTCTTTATAAAAGTTAAGACTCGTCCACACCCTCCTAAAACACCTCCTTTAAATACGCCCCCACATGTTTACGTCACTGTGTGGGAAGATTTGCATAACACCGCCCAAATGTATACGCAAAGAAAGAAGGTGTAACTTTTATTCTCGCTGTAGTATTGTTGTTGCCGCTGCCTCCATGTCGTGGAGACGCTGTGTGTTTCGTTGTGAAAGCGAAACTACTTTGTTTGGTCTTCTAAAAGAGGACACGACTAGAAATCAGTGGTGAAGTTGTATTTACAACACTGTTCCAGAGCAGGTCAACCCAAACATTCAGATGTGTGCAGCGCATTTTACGGAGGACTGTTTCCTGATCCTGGGAGAGTAGACTACAATGCCGGCTGTTCTGACGCACAGCCTGTAAGTACGCTTTCATATTTAAAGAATTTGACACTGACGATTCAAACGCAAGTTTTGAGCAGTGTAGAGTAGC